CATACATGAATCACCTTGTAGCAGATCTATACAGGTGGAGCTGGGGAAGGTGGAGGGTTTCTGAAGCAAGCTGCAACTGGTACGGCAAGCACTAGTCATATATTTGAATGTTGAGCAGCGAGCTCATTGGCTACTGATACAGGAGAGAACCTGAATCAGAATCAGAATCAGCTGTGTCATTAGGTCAGATTGAGTTAGACCTATCGGACTGCGCCATCTAGAGTTTCATGCCAGAACTCTGTATTTATGAAAATGTCAATAATGTCTTAAGATTCACAACCTCATTTTTTTTTTTTTACTTAACATTTCTTTTAGGTTATGTGAATGTTAACGGAACATTCTATTTTATTATTTAAAAAATATTATTTCAGAATGTTTTTGGAACGTTCAAAATGTTCAGTTTTTTAATTAAGAATGTTTTTCTTAGTTATGTGAACGTTAGAGAAACATTCCATTCTATCATTTTAAAACGTTAAGAGAATGTTACATTTGAATTTTCTCTCATCATTTAAAACACCCATTTTTTCTATTTTAAGAAGGTGTCCTCTAAACATTATGAGAGCATCTCAAATATCAAAAATGTTCCATAAACATTATTTCAAGAATATTTTGTTCTAACATTTACACAACCTTGAAAAATATTTCCTGTTAGCTGGGATAGCAATTTATACGATACAGATAGTGTCAAAGCAGCTTCCAAGAAATAAACAGGAAAATAACAGCTTGCAAAATTCATCAGTTATGAGACAAATTTAATTTCAGCTGTACAATAGTGTCATTATTCAGATCAGTCCAGTAAATAGAGATAACATCTTCATATAATCGGCATCAGAAACTGAAAATGTCACTTTGGTCTTTTGATCTTTCTCTGACAAAAATACTTTACAAAGCCAGTAAGTGAGTGAATTGTGTTGTGTTGTGTTGCATGCTGGGAGCAGCCAGCGCTCATCCAGACGAGCGAGAGGCTCTGATGTCCGAGCTGAAGATCCTCAGTCATCTCGGGCAACACAAGAACATCGTGAACCTGCTGGGCGCCTGTACACACGGCGGTAAGACCATCCAATTGTTTTATTCCATCCTCCAGCTCAGACTGGTTTTAATAGATGCTTTTTAGATCTAAGCCAGTTTCTACCAGCTAGAAACCATGTAAAAGCATCAGAAACTGGTTGAATGGCTGGATTGTCCTGCAAGAGTTGCTCAATTTTGGTCATTTTTCTGGCTCGTTTCCAGGTCCTGTGCTGGTCATCACGGAATACTGTTGTCATGGTGATCTTCTGAACTTCCTGCATAGCAAAGCTGAGAACTTCTTGAACTTCGTCATGATGATTCCGAATCCGGCGATGGATTATAAGAACGTCAACACTGAACGAATGTTCCTCAGAAGGTCAGTTTAACAAACACTTTAAAAAACATATGCTGTAAACACAAAACTTAGAATATTTCAGCAGATTAAAAGAAAAACATGTTTTGTAAAACCCCCAAAAATTATTGGTTTAGACTCACGAGTCTTTGGCATATAAGGTCGAAACTTTGTGGATGTCCAGTGATTGTCCAAAATGTCCATTTTCCATCGTCATGAATGTAAAAAGCACTGCTTTCACATAGTCACTTCATCAATGCAACAAATTTGCAAATTCTGAGTGACAAACTTGAACCTGTTGCTAAATCTGTGTGGAGAAATCTTTCACCCTCATGAGAAATTCCTGATCACATGGATTCATGTGATTCACACTGGATTTTGCCAGCAAAAATTTGCAAAAATGCGGGAAATGTGACCACGAATTTTGAGTTTATACTTAAAACTAACAAAATTAGAAAAGTGTTTGATTGTGTTTAATTGAAAGTGCATGTTTTTTATTATTATTATCTGTTTGTTGTGATTGTTTTACAGTGACAGTGGGATTTCCAGTACTTGCTCTGATAATTATCTGGCCACGAGACCAGCCTCATCCAGACCCACAAACTCTGTTCAGAGTGAGTCACAATCTACTTCCCTCAGACACACGTCATCATAAAACCACAAAATGCTACAAATCTGCAATATATGAATATCATATTTTGCTCAGAAACATGTTACGTTACAGAAGCAAAAAGAGTTGAGAAGCGGGGTTATTACAGTTAACTAAAACTAAAAACATAAAGATAAAATAAACTATAAAATTACACAATATAACAATTTTTTACTTATTTTATTTCAGCTAGTTCACAAGGCCAACTTGATTTACTAAAATTGACAGCATTTTAGTAATAACTAAAAAAAAAAAAAAAAAGATTAAAAGAATGATGTCATAGGACTGTGAGATTTAAATCTGAATATTTTGTGAATAGTCAAGTCTCAAAATATTTTTATTTAATCTTGTATAAGAGTTAATTCTCATATTGCTAGACTTTATTTGCATAATTATGACTATTATTAAATATTAATACTGTAATTAAACGATGCTATGACTTTATTCTCTTAATTTTGACTTTATTCCCAAAATATATAAAGTTTAATCACGTAGGCCTATAGTAAGACAGACTTTATTTCTCGTATTACTTTGACTTTATTCTCATAATTTTGCCTTTATTCCAAAAATATAACAAGTTTAATCAGATATAAGACTTTATTCTCGTAATTATGACTTTATTCTCAAAATAATGCGTTTACGTGCACCCTTTTAATGAGTTTTTGACAATATTGCGATTAAACTTTACCTCATGTAAACGCAATACTTCAATCTAAATAATGAGATTAAGCTCATAATCGCAGCAAGCATATTCATATTAACATAGGTGGTGTACGCCGAATTTAATCGAAATATACAGGCATGTAAACGCCTTTTGTTTTGTTCTCTCTCCGCGTTCGTCACGCTACGCTGACGTCCTACGTCATCCACCGGAATGGCTACCATGCGTACAACACATACTGGAAGTGAGAGAAAAGTGTTTATTGTGTTTGAAATATGGATATTTTTCTTATAAAAACACATGGATTCGCTACAGGAGGCCTTTATTCACCCCCCGGAGCCGTGTGAGACACATTTTATTACGGATGCGTGTGCTTTTTTTAACGTGTTTTGGGCTGTTAAAGAGAAACACCCACCCACTACAATGATAGAGCTTAGAAGTGCCAGGACAATTTTAAAGGGGTCATATGATGTTGCTAAAAAGAACATTATTTTGTGTATTTGGTGTAATGAAATGTGTTTAT